AGCAGGGCATTGAGCTCTGCAAACGCTGCATCAGCTTCGGGAGTTCACTCGAACTTATCAGACTTCTTCATCAGTCGGTAAAGAGGAAATGCCTTTTCACCGAGGCGAGAAATGAATTGACTTAAGGCGGCCAAACAACCAGTAAGCTTTTGGACATCGTGCACACGCACAGGGCGTTTCATCCGAAGTATAGCACCAACTTTCTCTGGGTTAGCGTCGATCCCTCGTTCGGAAACAAGGAAACCGAGTAATTTTCCGCTAGGAACTCCGAATGTGCATTTTGAGGGATTAAGCTTGATATCATATCTTTTGAGATTGGCAAAGGGTTTAGCAAGGTCAGCCAACAGGTCGAAACCTTTACGTGACTTGACCACAATGTCATCCATGTATGCTTCCACACTCTGACTGATTTGAGTGAGAAGACACTTCTGGATCATCCTCATGAATGTGGCTCCGGCGTTCTTCAAGCTGAATGGCATAGTGACATAACAAAAGCATCCGAATGGAGTGATGAAAGCCGTTTTTATCTCATCGGGACCATACAGTCGGATCTGATGGTACCTGGAATAGGCGTCCAAAAAAGACCAACGCCCACACCCCGTAGTTGAGTTGACGATTTGGTCGATGCGGGGGAGAGGAAAATGATCTTTCGGGCAGGCCCGATTGATATGCTTGAAGTCAATGCACATGCGAAGCGAGTCGTCCTTCTTGGGGACCATGACAACATTGACGAGCCACTCGGAGTGGTAGATTTTACGGATGAACTTAGCAGCCAAGAGCCGAGCCACTTCCTCACCGATTGCTTTTCTCTTCTGGACGGCGGACCGTCGGAGATGTTCCTTGACTGGTTTTACTTTTGGGTCGACTCGCAAACGATGATCAGCCAGTCCCCTGGGTACACCCGGCATGTCAGAAGGTTTCCATGCAAAGATGTCCCGGTTCTCACGGAGGAACTGGATGAGCGCTTCTTCCTATTTGCTGTCGAGTGTGTTGAGATATGGGTCGGAGCATTATTGTGGTCGGCCGGGTGAATATGAATCGGCTTCGTTTCACCGGACGACTGAAATGCAGAATCTGTGGCAGGCTTCTTGGCTCGCAGCAAATCACTCGGATCTGCATTCTTCTGATACTCTTGCAGTTCTACTACTGTCATCTGTGCATCGGCAATTTTTGAGCCTTTTCAGAAGCACTCTTCCGCCTTCTGCCGATTGCCAGTGACAGTGATTACTTCTTTAGGACTAAGCATCTTCAATTTGAGATGCACGTAACATGGTCGACCCATAAAACGTGCATAAGCGGGCCTACCCAGAATAGCATGGTAAGCACTCTTGAAATCCACTACCTCAAATGTCAACTTTTCCTTGCGGTAGTTCTTAGAATTACCAAAAACCACATCAAGGGCGATCTGGCCGAGTGATTGAGCTTTCTTGCCAGGAATAACGCCATGGAAACTCATGTTGCTTTCACCAAACTTGGACATCGGAATGCCCATTCCCTTTAAGGTTTTAGCATAAAGGATATTCAGGCCACTGCCACCATCCATCAGCACTTTAGTCAGTCGAGTGCCTTCAACTACTGGGTCGACCACCAGTGCTTGCCTCCCAGGGGTGGCTATATGAGCTGGATGGTCTGACTGGTCGAATGTGATGGCAGTCTGGGACCACTTCAAATAATTGGGTGTTGCAGGAGCAACCATGTTTACTTCCCTATTAATAACTTTCAACCGACTTTTGCTTTCAACATCAGCAAAAATCATCAGTGTGAAATTGACGTTGGGAAAATCATCATCATCTTCTTCCCTATCCTCACCTCCGTCCGACTCCTTTTCCTTCTCCTTGGGTTGTTTCTCTCGGAACTGCTGGATAAGGAAACGACACTGTCGAGTGGTTTGTTTAGGGTAAATGATGTTCCCCTCTTCATCTTTTTTGTACGAATATGGCATGGTAAATCCAACACATCATTTCCATCTTTATCCTTAACTTTTTTGAGAGTCCAGGGCCCCTTGGGCTTTCCTTTGAACTTTCCTTGGGCAATAGCTAAAGCTTCGCCAGGAGCAGCTGGTTCAACCTTTCGCTTTTGTTTCCGACTGGAATTCCCTCCTCCAGTTTCTTGGGCGACTGTTTTGTGCTTGCCACTCCGGAGTCGGTCTTCCTCTCCATCATTGGCATATTTGGTGACAATCTCCATCATCCGAGTCAGGGTTATATCTCTTTCCGACCGAATTTCAGATTCAACTCCCGATACCTAACGCCTTCCTTGAAGGCACAAATTGCTTAATGATCTGACACATTCTCCACTGTATGGTGCAACGTGATCCATCTCTGAATATAATCCCTCAAGATTTTATTCGGTTTCTGAACACAACACTGCAATTCTATCAATCCTGCCAGCCTTTTGCAAGTACCTTCAAAGGTCCTCCCAGTCGAGCAAGTTCCTCCCAACTATATATACTGCCAGGAGCCAAATGATTCAACCATGCTCTGGCTGAGCCCTCCAACATCAAGGGGAGGTGCTTCATAGCCACATCATCATTGCCGCCACCAATCTGCACAGCCACTCGATAGTCCTCCAGCCAAGTGTCTGGCTTGGACTCCCCGGTGAACTTGCTGACTCTAGTCGCCAACCTGAAATTGGGAGGAATCACTGCTGCTCTGATGGCTCTGCTGAAACACTCGGGTCCTAAAACATGCACCCTGCTTCCAGTCGGATGATCTCTATCGTGGCCTTCTCTGTGAGTTCTGTTCCTATCAACCAGACCTTGAACGAGGATAGATCTTGCATCAAAGTCTGGCTCTCTGGGGTCGACTGGAATTCTTCGTTCGCCACTATGGGGGCGCCTGTCATCTTGCCGCTGAGGCACGTATGACCCACTCCTCGGAGGAGGCGTGGGCATTCGACAACGGTCATCGTGGTCGAGTCGATGATCATACTGCACACGGTTCCTGTACTGATCTTGTCGATGCCCACGCTCCTCACGCCGCGGAGGCGATCTTGGGCTGTGAGCAGATTGGACAGTATCTGCCACCATAGATCTGCTATGAATCCTATTCCGCCACGACTGAGATATTGTTGTATTCTGCTCTCCCGCTGCCCGGAGCAAAGCCCGGATCTGCATCAAACCTCGGCCAGCTTATGACTGGGAAGGTTGAATTGACTCTGCTATTCAAGCTGCAGCTGTGAGATTCTGGATCGGAGTTCGGTATACCTAAGTCGGAGGTGGAAAAAGTTGTCATCGACTGGATTCAGGAATTCGTTGCCGAGCACGCTCGTCGAGTGCGTGCTAGAGGTTCTCCAGTCGAGTGCGCTTAGCCAAGTTGGCCAGGCGTGCCTCCTCCAAGGCCTGGGCCTCGGGGGTTTCTCGAACCATTGGAGTGTGAAGTGCATCCATGTTACGATGGCGAAGCTCTTCCCTCCTCTACGAAGCGAGGGGTTCAGGGTGGTACTCTTCATGGACATGCGATGGGTCGCCGACGCCATCGCCCCCGTCTTCACGGGTGAAGCCAGGAGGACTGCGTGGTCCATTGACCATCAAGACTTCCGCCGCGGGGTCGCTGCTGTCGTACTCGGACGCGGTCTCGACGGAGCCAGTCAACAGATTGAACAGGCCGTAGAGAGTTTCATCGGGCTCGATCGCCATGATTTGTGGGGTGGCCGATTGGCGGGCCATCGCATGCCTCACCCACCGTTGAAGCCGCGACCGACCGGATCGCTGGCGCCGACGAACAACGAAAAGCGAGGTTTCCATAGGAGCCGACTGATATTGAGTCAACGGTTGCTGAAGAAGGACGTCGCGGACGCATGCGCGGAAGTGCGTCGCCCCGCGGACAGGGAGCGCCTCGACGTCGAGTGGAGCCTCATGGAGCCAAGCGGAGTCGTCGGCAATGAAGACAAGCGCGCCGAGACGAATCTCGTGGCCTTCAGCCAATCCTCCGCCGGAAACCATGATGACGAGAATCAGAAAAATCGCAACTTCTCCAACAAACTCCTAAGACATCGGCCCCACGGTGGGCGCCAACTGTCGTGGTTCTAATACTGACAGTAGAATGCGGAGTAGGTATGAGGAGGCAAGATCCTAGCTATGGAGTAGTTGTACATACGAGTTTATGAGTTCAGGCCTTCTCGGAGGAAGTAATAGCCCTATGGCTCGATGCCTTAAGGCGGTCGACTGGATTATATGTGTGTGTTTACAAAAGATGCTGTAACGCCCCGAGACCGATGTGCCAGGTGTCTTCCAGTTGTTCGCCGGCGTTGCCATGTCATTTTCTTGCGTGTTGCATTTCATCATGTCGTCATGTGCATTGCATCATCATGTTTTCAAAACCTGCATCCGTCCGGGTTCCCCCAGTTCCGTCCGTTGTCCGTTCTGAGCCCAGACACACTTGCACGCGCCCGCGGCACGTCCGAAATATTATTTTATAAGTGGCCGGAAAATGTTCTCGGAATGGGATGAGAGTTGGCGTGCGGTCTTGTTATAGTGTAGGTAGACCGTCAGGCCCTACCTAACCTCTCTTGTCAGCCCGTGACCCACCTCGCGCGCGCCCGAAAGCTGTCCCGGATCCGACTCGGGCTGTCGCTACCGTTGTGTCCGGATCATCTCCAAAGGTCTACAAAACGTCACCATTTTCTTTTTTGGACTCCCTAGCTATTTTATTCGCGACCGTCCAATTATGATCTGAGGGATCCGATAACCCCTAACTATTTCCACCTGTCATATATATACTAGGTCCAACCCTAAAATTTAGGGGAGCTGTCCCATCCATCCATTCCGCCCGCTGCCGCCAGCCCACCTGATCTCCTCCTCGGCTTCCTCACCGAGCCAACCACCATCCATCCCAATCCACCCCCTCCAACCAGAGCCTCTGACCGCCTTCCATGTTTTCCGCGCCACCAAAAAGATCATCACCAAAGCTCGATCCCCAGCCACCTTCTCTGCCCGAACCCCTCTTCTGCTTTGAGCTCCATCCGACGAGCCGCGACGGAGTGCCTCCTCCTGAACCGCCATGGCGCTCGGCCTCACGCAGCTTCTTCAGTCAGCACCGCCGTCGCCGTTTACCAATAGATGAGCTTCGCACCCATCTCCTCTCTTTTCCCTCCTCCTATTCTTCTCTCCATCTCTCTCTGACCTCTCTCTCAACCGTGTGTTCTTCGCACAGGAGCCATGATCGTTCGAAGCTTCAACAATTGCCGGCCTCGTCTCCATCCGACGTCGTTGTCCTGGCCTTGGATCTGTCGGGTCCCGACCTCCCTGTCGTTGCCGGACCTTGTCTGCTCGCCAGGGTTGACTCAGGCGCGAGCCCCCTCCTAGACCTGGTGCTCCCTCGTACCTGCAAGGCGTCGCCCCCTGAACCTGTCGATTTCCTCTTCTGCAACGAGCCGGAGCTCTCTTCTCGCTCATCCGCTTCGACCTACCCTGTTTCATTCGTCACTCTCGGCCAGATCCGGCGCCTCCCTGCACCCTGGCCCCATCCCTGGCCCCAAGTCAACGCGCCGCCCCACCGGAGTCCACCAGCGACGGTGACCTCTGCCTTCCTGCGCCCCTCTGTCGCTGTTGCTCTGCCTCCATACGAGGAGACGAGCAGAAGCAAGCACAGCGCCTGCATTGACCGCTCCACCACGTCGGCCCAGTGTCTCCAGTGAGGCCCAGCTACGTGACCTACCGGCCTCCCTTCTCCACCGAGTGGGCCGAGGCCCATGGTGAGGCCCAGCTGCGCGCCTAAGCCGGCCTGCCCATGAGGCCGCCGCCAACCTCCTTCACTAACTGGGCTTGGCCCATGGTGAGCGCCCAGTCCGCCCAGTTTCAGCCTGCTGTGTTTTTTTTCAGATCTGGAAATTTAGCTGTTATTCCAGTGCACTGCATATTTACAGATTGGACCCTATACTTCATGCATATTATAAGTCTCAAACCATGCATCATATGTAAAAACTTAATATATGGAAGTTGCTTAGAATTTTGTGTAGAGTAATAATATCCAACTTTCATCTATGTTTGAAATGTTTAAAATGTTGTTTGATTAAATTTGCTCCTATGCCATGCTAAAATGATTTAATTCATAACTATTTAACCGTAGCTCGGTTTGTAACAAACTTTATGTGTAAATGGGGTAGAAAAATGCCTAGTTTAACATGGTGACCTTTATTTGCATGTTAAACAACTATAAAATTTGATTTAGGGAAGAACAGTACCAAACCTAATATTGCATATGAGGAGTTTCCGGACTTGTTGTTTTGTTGTTCCGGCCTCATTTAAACTTGCCTAGTTAGGTAGTTTTGTTGTGCTTCACCTCTTGCCATGCTAACAACATTCAATATTGTTGGGTACATAAACGAGAGAGAACTAAATAAGTCATGTGGTGTTTTCTTCAATATGCAACTCCGTTGCATAATGAGCTCCACTTAATTTGTAGGATTGTTTGTGCGCTTTGCCATGCCATGCTTCATTAAACCGGACATGCATCATACTTGGTTGTGCATCATGCCATGTCTATGTGGTGGTTGTTTACTATGTTGTGTGCTTCTTTCCGGTGTTGCTTCTTCGCGTTGGTTCCGCTAACACCGCGTTTGTGAGGAACCGTTCGACTACGTCCGTTTGTCTTCTTCATGGACTCGTTCTTCTTCCTTGCGGGATCTCAGGCAAGATGACCATACCCTCGAAATCACTTCTATCTTTGCTTGCTTAGTTGCTCGCTCTTTTGCTATGCCTATGCTGCGATACCTACCACTTGCTTATCATGCCTCCCATATTGTTGAACCAAGCCTCTAACCCACCTTGTCCTAGCAAACCGTTGTTTGGCTATGTTATCGCTGTGCTCAGCCCCTCTTATAGCGTTGTTAGTTGCAGGTGAAGATTGACGTTTTGTTCCTTGTTGGAACATGGCGATGTTGTTCCTTGTTGGAACATGTTTACTTGTTGGGATATCACTATATATCTTATTTAATTAATGCATCTATATACTTGGTAAAGGGTGGAAGGCTCGTCCTTATGCCTGGTGTTTTGTTCCACTCTTGCCGCCCTAGTTTCCGTCATATCGGTGTTATGTTCCCGGATTTTGCGTTCCTCACGCGGTTGGGTTATAATGGGAACCCCTTGACAGTTCGCTTTGAATAAAACTCCTCCAGCAAGGCCCAACCTTGGTTTTACCATTCGCCACCTAGCCTTTTCCCTTGGGAGTCGCGCATCCCGAGGGTCATCTTTATTTTAACCCCCCCAGGCCAGTGCTTGTCTAAGTGTTGGTCCAAACTAGAGCCACTTGCGGCGCCACCTCGGGGAAACTTGAGGGCTGATTTTAGCTGTACGTAGTGTTCATCCGGTGTTGCCCTGAGAACGAGATATGTGCAGCTCCTATCAAGATGTCGGCGCATCGGGCGGTCTTGCTGCTCTTGTTTTACCATTGCCGAGGATGTCTTGTTGTACCGGGATACCGAGTCTGATCGGAATGTCTCGGGAGGAGGTCTATTCCTTCGTTGACCGTGAGAGCTTGTCATGGGCTAAGTTGGGACACCCCTGCAGGGATTTAAAATTTTGAAAGTCGTGCCCGCGGTTATGGGCAGATGGAAATTTGTTAATGTCCGGTTGTAGAAAACTTGAAGTTGACCTTAATTTAAAATATATCAACAGCGTGTGTAACCGTGATGGTCTTTTTTCGGCGGAGTCCGGGAAGTGAACACGGTTGTTGGAGTTATGCTTGACGTAGGTTGTTTAGGATCACTTCTTGATCATACTTTCTCGAACGTGCTTTGCCTTTTCTTCTCGCTCTCATTTGCGTATATTAGCCATCATATATGCTAGTCGCTTGCTGCAGCTCCACCTCATACCTTTTACCTTACCCATAAGCTTAAATAGTCTTGATCGCGAGGGTGTGAGATTGTTGAGTCCCTATGGCTCACGGATACTTCCAAAACCAGCTTGCAGGTGCCGTTGAACCGTGCTGATGACGCAACCAAGCTCAGGAGGAGCTCGATGAAGATCTTGTCCTTTGTGTTGTCCCGTTTTCCAGTTGATCAGTAGTGGAGCCCAGTTGGGGTCGATCGGGGACCTTGTCGCATTTGGGGTTCTTCTTTTATTTTGGCTCCGTAGTCGGGCCCTGATTGTACTTGGATGTTGTAATGCTTTATTCATGTAATTGTGTGAAGTGGCGATTGTAAGCCAACTATGTATCTTTTCCCCTATTGTATTACATGGGTTATGTGAAGATTACCTCACTTGTGACATTGCTTTCAATGCGGTTATGCCTCTAAGTCGTGCTTCGACACGTGGGAGATATAGCCGCATGGAGGGCGTTACAGATGCGAACCTCAAACCTAGAGGAGGATGGCTTATATAGAGTGTGCCAGCACCCCAGTTCCCCTCCGTTATGCGGGGTTTAATATACATAAAGGTGGAGCATTACAGATAACGTCCATATTAAAGTGTTATAAATGGTAGTTAAGGCTATGAGTAAACGCACGACCGTTATTGTGTAGAGTGGCTTCAGATTTTTTGTTCGTCGAGTGACTTCTGTGACGGTCGAGTGACATTGATTTTTCCGAATGGAATGTCTCTAGTCGAATAGATGATGGTACCCTTAAAATGTTGCTGGCTTTAAGGTGATGTCCTTGAGGAGGTAGTCTAGGTCAACCCTATGACCCTACCCTAAATACATAGGGTCATCAACAATAAGATATCAAAGATTCAGAAGTAGAAGCAGAATCACCTCAACTTGGCCCCTTGAAGCCGCAAAATGCAAGATGGTTGCGTCCTGGTACGCAGCGGGAATGGAGCAACCCTGCAGGAGCTCCCTGGGGATCTCAAGTCTCCGCCCCTCGCAGCGGCGTGCATTGCCCGGTTCATCATCTCCCGTCTGATGTCTGAGGGCAGCAGGTGCATCTCCCAAATCCCAGCCCCGTAGGAAAAGAAGCCCAGCAGCCGTGGATCGCCGCAGCCCTCACCGGAACCCGGGGGCGGGGAAACTTGGGCGGCGCTGGTCCCCATGGAGGTCAGAGGAGGGAATAAAAGTAAGGAGGGGCGGGACATCGCGCCGGAGTCATGGGAAGGCGCGACGAGGGGAGCAGCCGCCCTGGATCCGTCGGCCGGCAGGAGGCCACCGAGAGACGCGCCACCGGACCTCTCGAGCACCGGGATGATAGGACAGCCCGGGGGCATTGCCGGGAGACGAGGAGAGGCCACGACGCAGGCTTCACCTGGTGGTGGCCTCCGTCGGCGGCGAGGGTAGGAGCTGGAATGGGGTGCTGGTGCCGGCACGCTCGGGCGAAGCCGCCCACATCGCGTAGTGTATCACCGCGGCAAATCTCGCAGAAAGCAACAACTGCTCGGCCCTGTGCAGATAGGGATGAGAGAGATGAGCGACAGAATAGAACGAGGTGGAGGTGGAGACATCGGGAGACGAATGAATAAGCGGCCTCTCTAGACTTCTAGAGCGAGGCGTGCGTACACGTGATGGTTACGTGTCGGCTGGAACGTTATTTTTATCAGTCGGTTGCTTTTCTGTAATCCTTTACTATATTATAAACAAAAGAGGAATGAAATATAATCTTACAAATCATCTTCAATAAAAACAAAAAAAGCCTACATAATCAAAATCATTGAATTGAAATATTTTGTTAATTCTGTAAAAATCTTTTATATGACTTACATTGTATGTTTCTTCCTAAAAGATTGTTTCATGCATTTATTCTTCCATTTGATGGTAAATATGCGCCAACAAAAGACGTTAGGTTGGCCTCTTCACATCAACACTTCATGATCCCAAAAAAAGATAACCCAACTCCTGGCACATACGCTCATATGCATCTTAGAGAGACAAGGGTAACCTTCTCAACATTTATCAGAGTTGATACCAGTAGGGTGTAATGGCACGTGAAGCCGGTCTTGTTATTTTTTTTATATCCGTTGTAACGCACGAGTATATATACTAGCTTAATAATAAAAGGGCTATTGCTTCTTGCGATGGTCATAAAAATTGTCCACAAAATTGCAAAATATGACCCATCAATGTCACCTATAAGTGATAAATCATCTTTCACACAAGGAAATCCCCTGCCTCGGCCGACACATGCAGTAGGGACCTTCTATAATGCGATCGGAGAAGAAGCAGCGCGCCCGTTTGGGTCTGGCCATGTCCGGGCCGCCTATTTTTTAAATTTTCTTTTTTTCTTTTCTGTTACAAAAAAGTTCCAAAAATTAAAAATATTCAGTAAATATTTAATAAATCATAAAAAATTTGTGGATTAAAAATGTTCGTGATTTTATAAAAATACATTTGCTTATTAAAAATGTTTAAAATTTTGAAAGAAAATATTCGGCAAATCCCAAAATGTTCATGATTTTTTCAAAAGTCCATGTATTAAAAAATGCTAATGAAATTGAACATAATTTCACCAATTCAAAAAATGTTCATGAATAGAAAAATATCCTAAAAATTCAAAAACTACTCAAAACTTACAAAATAGTTTATTCATTCATAAAATATTCGCTGATTCAAAAAATGATCATGCATTTCAAAAAATGTTCGCGAATATCAAAAATTGTTCCACCAATTTCCAAAACAATGTTCATCCATTCTACAAATGTTCGCCGATTCAAGAAAATTGTTAAAAATATGTTCACAATTTTAAAAACTGTTTGCAAATAGTATAAAATG